CTGTATCATCTTGAATGCACAAAATATTGATCAGCACACTCCATCAGATCAAGTTCTAAGAGACAAGCTTACAGTGCCCAAGCTCCTAAAGCTGATCTGGAAAGCAGAGCTCAGCTGACTCATGGGAGTAGTGATGCCAAGGAGATGGGGAGCTGTGTCCTCTGGTCAATTCATTTGAGTTTTGAAATAACCACAAGAAATATGGGGAGAAAACAGAGTCATTCTTTAAAGGTTTCAAAGTTCTGAAGAACTTCCTTCTGGAAAGTATGGGACACCTTAAAACTGACTTGGAGTTAGGAGAGTGGGAAGACCAGGAGTTGGGGGAGAAAAACTTACCTGGTCACAATTGGGAAGTAAGGGCATCATGGGTGTCTGTTGTAAAGAATTCCTAATGATTTTGTCCTTTTTTGTTGTTGTTTTGAGATAGGGTCTCACACTGTAGGTTATGCTGGCCTTAAGATCACGGCAATCCTGCTGCCTCAGCCTTCGAAGTGCATGGATTAGAGGCGTGTTCCATGACGCCCAGTTGTTCTTTTCCCTTTAAAGATGGTTGAGGGCTGAATATGACCATGTTTCACTGTCCACAGTATGAAGTTATCAATAGTGGGGCTGAAGAGATAGCTCAGCAGTCAAGGAGCTGCTCTTCCAGAAGACCCGGGTTTGGTTTCCAGAACCCACATGGTGGCACACAGCTGTCTTTAACCCCAGTCCCACCCAGGGGATTCAGTGCCTTCTTCTGGCCTCCAAAGGCACCAGGCATAGATGGGGTGCACAGACATAAGTGCAGACAAAACACCCAAATACATAAAAAGTAATTAATTAAATTAAAAAAGAAATTCTCAGCTGGGTGGTGGTGGATCACACCTTTAATCCCAGCACTCAGGAGGCAGAGGAAGGTGAATCTCTGGGTTCAAGGCCAGCCTGGTGTACAGAGTGAGTTCCAGGACAGCTAGGGCTACACAGAGAAACCCTGTCTCAAAAAACAGAAAGAGAGAGAGAGAGAGAGAGAGAGAGAGAGAGAGAGAGAGAGAGAGAGAGAGAGAAAGTCCCAAGAAAAAAAATTGTTATAAAAAGGAAAATGATTGAAACTGGGTGTATAGCTCAGTGGTATAATAGAACACTTGCCTGGAATGCATGAGGCTCTAGGTTCAATCCCTAGTTCTGCAATGAATATATATAAATAAATAAATAAATAATAAAAATTGGTAGCTGTCTTGAGGGTTAGAGTGTTTGATTGGCAGCCGTCAGATCCCTCCAATGCAGCCTGTTGCCAGGAATAGAATCCAACAACTGCCAGGTGGGGGTGAGTTGGTGGGAGGTTGTAAACATTATTCCAGCCGCCCCCGAAGATTCCGCAGCAACTACAACTCCAGCACCACCATTTCCAAAGAGAGTGAGAGGCAGCCTACTTGAGTCCCTGTTTAGATGACCCCCTCCCCAGGGACATCATAGCCGAACCTGCTTGGGAGGAGCTCCTTCCAGACCACAGGGTCCCTGGAGCAGCCCTGACTAAAGCTGCAGCTGTCTGTGGTCATGACAGCGGGGTCATTCTAGCTGCAATGAAGTCTTCTCTGGGCATCTGAACCTCAACAGAAGTTTCCATGGACTATCCGAGACTGGACTGGAGGTTTCCGAGCATCTGGGAGGTGTTGCTGTCAAGACAGTTGTGACGGTCATATTGTTTGATTGGCAGCTGCCTCACTTTTTCATTTCAGGTATTTCCTGAGCAACTGGAGTGTTCTCCAAAAGCATCGCACCTGTGCCTACCTCTTGGCATGTCTTCCCTTCTTTCTCCTCCAGCAGTTTCAGTTCTGACGTTAAGGTCCATTGGGAGTTGATTTTTTTGCAAGGTGAGAAGTAAGGACTTATTCCTATTCTTCTATATCTGAACTTAGGATTTCCTTAGCAACTGACTGGGGCCATTTTCAATTAAGTAGATAAGTCAGGAATGGACTTTAAGCTGGTCTAGAAATATATCCAGTCAAATTGCTTCCTGGAAAAAGACATAAAAGTATAGAAACACAGAACTTTGTTCTACCTGTACAATGGAATATTATGTGAGGACAGATCAATTCAGACAAAATAGGAACCAGATACAGGTACAAAGTTTTCTTTTAGGGTAATGAGAATGACTTATAACTAGATAGAGTGGTTATGTAGCAATGTAAATAACACTGTAATTGCTCACTCTATACTGGTTAATTTTTGTTATGTGAATTTTTACCTAAAATTTTCTATGTGTACCTATGCATTTGTACATGCTTTTGTAGGCCAAAGATCAGCTGTGGAGGTTATTTCTCAGGAGCTGTTCACCTGGTGTTCCCCCCACCCCACCCTGTGACTCTGGTGTTGCACCCCCTACTCCCCTTCTCCAACCCCTGTTGCTGGGGCAGAAGGTCAGGAATTATTTTTAAACACTCTCTCAGTAGACATCTTGATTAGGTTTTCATTTGTTACTTGCTTTTTAAACTTTTTTGGTTGTTCTTGTTTTGTTTTTCAGAGACAGAGTCTCACTATGTAGCTCTGGCAGTCCTGGAACTCACTCTGTAGACCAGGCTGGCCTTGAACTCACAGAGATCAGCCTGTTTCTTCCTCCTGAGTGCTGGGATTAAAGGCATATGCCACTATGCCTGGCTGCTTTTTAAACTTTTTAAAGATTTATTATTTTTAATTATATGTAGGTGTATGTGCCTGTATGTGAGTATGTACATATGAGTGCAGGAGTGTGGGAGTGCACGAGTACAGGAGTTCAGATACCACTGGAGGCTAGAGGTGTTGGATCCCCTGGATGCACATGGTTTTGAGCTGCCTGAGACAGTGCTGGGAATACAATGCAATCCTCTAGAAGAACAGCAAATGCTCTTAACCACTCTCCAGCCCTTGTGGGTTTTTGTTGTTGTTTGTTTGTTTGTTTTGGTTTTGGGTTTTTTTGTTTTTTGTTTTTTTGTTTGTATACTTTGTTATTTTGAGGCAAGGTCTTTCATTGGCCTGGAAATTAGCACCTAGGCTAGGCTAGGTGGCCAAGGAGTTCCAATGATCCACCTGCCCTCCCTCCACCTCCCCAGCACTGGATTATAACAGCTCACTACCACATCCAGTTTTTTCACATGGATCCTCATGCTTGTGTGGCAAGCACTATACTGACTGAGCTACCTCCCATCCTCAAGAAATAAAATTAATTAAATAGTTTTCTAGAGCATCCTAGCATATACCTATAATCCCAGCACTGGGGAAGCTGAGAAAGGAGGATTATAAGTTGGGTTACCTTGTGAGATCTTAAAACAACAAAAAGTTTTCTATAAAAAAACTTGAGTAAAAAATAAAAGGGGATGGAGAGATGGCTCAGCTATTAAGAGCACTGGCTGCTCTTCCAGAGGACCTGGGTATTGCAGAATATTATTTTAAGAAATGTTACATTTGTTTATGCCGTAGAACATTTATTTAATGATGCAAAGATGTGTTGCATTCCTTTATGTTGCATTTGTTTAACTCTGTGAAGCTGTGTTACTGTGCCTGTCAAAACACCTGATGGTCTAATAAAGAGCTGGACAGCAAGGCAGGAGAAAGGATAAGTGGGGCTGGCAGGCAGAGAGAATAAATAGAAGGGGAAATCTGGGAGAAGAAAGAAGAGAACAAGGAGAGGAGGATGCTAGGGCCCAGTCACCCAGCCTCACAGACAGCCACAGAGTAAGAATGAAAGTAAGATACACAAAAGTAAGAAAAGGAAAAAGCCCAGAAGCAAAAGGTAGACAGGATAAGCTAAAAAAAAAAAAAAAAAAAAAAAAAAGCTGGCTAGAAACAAGCCAAGCTAAGGCCAGGCATTTATAATTAAGAATAAGCCTCCGTGTGTGATTTATTTGGGAGCTGGTTGGCAGGCCCCCCAAAGAGTCAAAAAAGCTAAGAGTAAAAGAACAATCAACAACATTTTGGGGTTCCAATGTGGGGCTAGAGTAAAAGAAAATCCAAGGACACCTGGATTTGATCCCCAGTACCCATGTGGCAGCTCACAATCATCTATAACTCTAGTTTCAGGGGACTCCAACCTTCTCTTCTAGGTTTCATGCGCACCAGATGTGCACAGACATACATGCAGGCAAAACACCCATACACATAAAAATAAATTTAAAATAAAAGCTGTGGGAGAAAGGAAAAAAATCATAGGAGAAATGCATTTTGAAAAGGTTAAGTTGTTAATATGTGGGGAGAAAGTCTAATGTCTTCAAGCATATAAAGAAGTTTGTGAAAAAGGTAATGTTGATCTTCAATAATAGAATTAAATTGTAGTTGCCGTACACCTTCTGTCATATCCTGTACCTGTGGAACTGAAGAAAGTGTAATAGATGCTCTCCTGGTTTAATGACTCCCCTTGTTCTGTTCATCACTAAATTATTGATTCATTGATTGTGGAGACGATCAATGCCCTTGCATATCATAGATGGTGTCAGGTTGTCAGTCTTTACCCCACACCCTGAAGACAGTCCCTGCAATGGGCAGACAGACTGCTTTGTTTAAGCATTCGCTGAGTCAGTGCGAGAGTTAGACTAAGAGAGTAGGAAAAACCCTAGAGGTGAGGTCAGAGAAGTCAATCAAGGCCCTACTCTGCAGTGATGGTTTCAAGGCGTGTTCGTTCAGTGCCTGGATCCAGCTTCCCATCTTCCCACAGACGGGTCCTAAGAGGGAGGGCCTCCCGGCCATTGTGAGGCCTGATCTGAAGCCCTCCACATCGCGAACAAGCGGGCGGAGGACTCACTCGAGCCCCTGGACCTCCTGCTCCCCCAAATTCTCCCAACAAACCAAGTGATAAAGTCAACCGTCTGGGCACTAGGCAGAACATTGCGCATGCTCCTGGACTAGCCACTGGACTACGACTCCCGGGAGGCACTGCGACTGATTGATGAATCAAGTATCCAATAAACAATTGACAATGTTCCGGAGGCCCAATCCCGTAGGGGAGAGGTGGGTCTTCCCGTGGGTAGCTCTCTCAGCCAGTGGGCGTCTCCGCGGCCCGGCTCCGGCCCCGCCCCCAGCCCGTGCTCTTGGGGTTCCCGTCTCCAGACTCTGGAGAGGCGGGTAACCCGCTGGCGGGGCTGGGTTCTGAGCTGCTACAGATCGTCGCAGGTGGCTACTGGAGCTGACTCCCAGCATTGCGGTAGAGCTGCGCGCCCCCTTGCTGCAGCTTCTCCAGGCCGAGCTGGCTGGGCCGCGGAGCCGCACTCGCTACCCATGGCGCGCTGTGGCCTCGCTTGACTCTGCGCTTTTGCTCTCAGAGGTACTTGGAGTCGGAGTCTGCAGGATGCTGGAGAGTTGGTACGAGCTGGAGAGTTGGTACGAGCTATCCACAAGACAGCTTGAACTTTCCTGGGGATTCCTCTATCAGCCTGTTAGATCGTGTCGTGCGTTTCGCCAGATACCAAAATAAAATATTCCCTCCAGTGCCCTTTTGGAATATTATGACTTCTCTCCTTAAAAACTGACCAACTCTTCCCACTGCCAGGAACTCTCTTGTCTTCAGAGTCTGGGATAAAGGCTAGCAAATGAGAAAGCTATGTCATTGCGGTCTTTCCATCCCTAACACTCCCAGAGGGGCTTCGTTCCTACCATTTTCCTAGCCTTCAGAAATTTCTCCAGAGCAATGACCCAGAAGACTTGATCAATTTACGATTAGAGTGACATTGTTTCCTGAGCCCCCAAAATGGCAGCTAAAATGGAGATAACTTTGAGTACCCACACTGAGGATTCTGACAAGCAAGAAAGACACATAATAATGAAGCTGGAAGAGAAACGTGGGCCCCCTCAGCAAAAAGCCTGCACTGACCCTGAGCTTTCCCGCCAGAGCTTCAGACACTTTTGTTATCAAGAAGTGTCTGGACCCCAGGAAGCGCTCTCCTGCCTTCGACAGCTCTGTAGACAGTGGCTGCAGCCTGAACTACACACTAAGGAACAGATTTTGGAGCTCCTAGTGATGGAGCAGTTTCTGGTCATCCTACCTCCAGAGATCCAGGCGCAGGTCAGGCATCGATATCCAATGAGCAGCAAGGAGATTGTGACTCTGGTGGAAGATTTGCACAAAGCATCCAAAAAGCCAAAGCAGTGGGTAAGGAGGGTCCTTTCTCTGTGGGTCCCAGGATTTCTTTGTTGTCTTTGGAGGTAGTGTTTTGTCTCATGCTCCCTAGCTAGATAAAGATTCCAGAGGAATGGATGGCTTCAAAAGTTGTTTCCAGACTCCAGGAACTCCCCTGCCCCCTAAGAAAGTTGTAACAGGGTTTCAGAAAACCCAGCCACTGGCACCCATTGAGGAGGTAGAACACTAAGATATTCCTTCGTAGATCTCATGGCCTTAGAAGAGGAGTTTTAAGGTTCTGGAATCTCTACTGTCAGATCTTCCCTGACCCATCCGTCTTGAAGTTTTGCTACAATCAGAATTCTTAGCTAACAGGTCTAGTCTGTTCGACAGGAAACTAATTTTGGGTGAAGTTCCGTGGACTTTGTTCCAGTGAAGGGTCTACCATATTGTCTTTGATGGGGACATCTCAGCTCAGTTCTCAGCTCAGTTCCCTGGTGTTGCTGCCCCACCCCCTCCTATTCCCTAAGTCAGACCCCAGCTGGAGCCTCTGAAGGAAGCAAGTCAGATGTGCTTTGGAAAATGGCACTGTGAGGGAACAGTGGGTTTGTCTTCGTAGATCTGAGTATCTTAGGCCTCTTTAGCAGAAAAACCTACCAAGTTGGAATGTTTTTCAATGGCCCCTTCTCAGACTGCTTTCTGTTCCCACCAGGCCTGTCTCTAGCAGAAGTAGAGAGGGTTGGGGTGTAGGGTGGGAATGGCAGGGGGAGGGGCCATTGTCATCACTGGTCCTGATAGTTTCGACAGCTCTCCTCTGAGGATCCTGGCCCCAGGCTGTGTGAAGCAGTCCCATCCCTCTCATTCTGCATGTTCTCCCGTCACCTCCTTTGAAGGTCTTGGTGGTATCTATAAACGTTGAACTCCAGGTCGTTGCCAGGACTTCCCAGGGTAAAGGGATCACTCTTTAGCAGTGAGTGGCATGTTGCTCCCAGTCTGTCAAGGAATGGAGAATTAATGGATTCCCCTTTGCCTAGGTGACTGTTTGTATGCGAGGGCAAAAGGTGCTCCTGGAGAAAACAGGAACTCAGCTTGTAGAACAAGAACTTCCAGACTCTGAACCTCAAACTGCTAGCAGAGATATTCAAGAGAACTCTCTGGAAGGGCCTTCCGGGGGAGGATCTCATGACCAGCTGAGTCCCCATCATGGGGAGAAATATCCCTTCTATCAGGAACCAGTCCCCAAATTGACTGAGACAGGTAAACACTGTATCCTTGGGCCCTCTCCTCAACTCTTTATGTCCATCATAGCATCTCATTCATGGTTCTGCAAGTGTGTTGCATATGATCACCTTTTAAAAATTTATTATTTGTGTGTGTGCGTGTGTAGGGGCCTGTGTGCCACAGTGCACGTGTGGAGGTCAAAGGACAACTTTGTGGAGTCATTTCTTTCTTTCTACCCTTATTTGGGTTGTGGAGGTCAAACTCAGGTCTCTGGCCTTGAGTAGCAAGTGCCTTTACTTACCAAGTCATTTTCCTGGACAGTTCCCACCTTTTAAAATTATGATAACTGATTTTTTTTTTTTGAGGCAGAGTCTCGCTATGCAGCCCAGACTGGTCTGGAACTCATGTAGACCAGGCTAGCCTTGAACTCACAGAGATCCACCTGCCTCTAAAAAAACTTTCCAAATGTGGGGATTAAAGGCGTACATGACCATGCCCAGCCTGTTTGGGTTTTTGCTTGTTTGTTTTGGAAGAAGTACTGGATTAGTTTGTAAAGTGGCTGCACCGTTTGAGGCTCCTATCAACCAAGTGTGAGGGTGCTTGCCCACGTCCTTGCTAGCACTATGCCCAGTTGTTTTTATTATGATGATGGAATATCCCCTGAGGTTTTGATTGTCATTTCCTTAATGAGTTATGATGTTTAGCATTATTTCATATGTTTATTAAATTATGTATCTTGGCCAGTGAGATGGCCCAGTGGGTAAAGGCACTAGCCACCAGGCTTGACGGCCTGAGTTCAGTCTCTGGGACCCACATGATAGGAGAGAGTCACTCCGGCAAGCTGTCCTCAGACCACCACACATACTTGGTCATACAAGTAGCCTCCCCCAACACACACACAAAATAAATATGACGTTTTTAAAAGAAAATTGTATATCTTGTCTTTTGTTAATTATGGGGTATCATGTAGCCTAGGCTGGTTTCAAAACCACTACTTAGCTGAGGCTGAACTTGAACTCCTGATTCTCCATTCTTCACCTCCTAAATCCTGTGATGAAAGGTCTTTGCCATCACTCCCAGCTTATAGAAAAATTCTTGCCTTATACTTTGCCCATTTTTAACTTGGGGTATTTGTATTTTTATTGTTGAGGTTTAAGAGTTAAAATAAGTGTTCTGGATCCTAGACCTCACAGATGATAATTCATGAATGTTTTCTCTCTCATTCTGTGAATTATCCTTACAGTTTTTGATGGTGTTCCATAAAGCACAAATGTTTTGTAAAGTTGTTACTCCATTTTTACTTATTTTATGTATATTGTATGCATGTGGGAGTCAGAAGAAACTGTGGAGACTCAGGTCTCTCCTTCCACTGTGTGGGTCCCAGGGGTCACACTCCGGTCATCAGGCTTGGCCACAGCTGCCTTTACCCATCTCACCAGCCCAAATGTTTTTCCTGTTGATAGTCTCTAATATTTTTCTTTGCTTGGGCTTTTGGTGTCATAGCTAAAGTACCATTGCCCAATCAAATGATTCACATTCACAGATACGTTCCCTTTAAAGAGTTATGTTTAGCTCTTGTGTTTAGAACCTTGGTTCATTTTGAGTTAGTTTTTTGTATGTGACATTTGGTATATGTTACTAAGGTTACTATAACAAAGTCCCTTAGGCCTGGCAATAAATAACATATTTATTGTTAACAGTTTCAAAAGTTAAGTCCAAGGTCATCTGGGGAGTTGACTTAGTGGGTAAGAGTCTTTGCTGAGTTCATATCCCCAGTGCCCCCTAAAAGAAAAGCAGCCCTGGTTGTATGCTTCTGTACTGCCAGTGCCTTGAGGGGTGGGAGGAGACAGAAGGATCTAGCCCCGGGGTGAGTGAGGGGCCCTGTCTCAAGAGACTGAGGCAGAGAGTGATAGAACAAGACATTTGATATCTTCTGTCTCTTCACTTGTGCATTACAAAGGCACACACACACACACACACACACACACACACACACACACACATCTTCCCCGTTCTCACACACTCGAACACACACACACACACACACACACACACACACACAAACACAGAAGTCCACAGTTGGTACCAGCAGCTACCATGACTGAGGAGGACTGACAGCGCCTGCCATGTGTCCCCATGTGACTGAAGAGAGAAACATGAAACAAGTTTCTTCCGTCTGCTTGACAAGGGCACTAATTCCATTCATGAGGGCTCCATCTTTATGGCCCAGTCACCCCCCACTACTACTTCGCTGGGGATTGTCAACATATAAATGTAGGGGTAGGCATTCAATCAGACTGGAATCTAACTTCATTCTTTGAAGCCGGGGTCACTTACTGAAAAATGACTCCTTTCTCATCGAACTGTCCTTAAGAACCTCGATGAAGCCAGGCATGGTGATACAGGCCTGTAATCTCAGCACTTGGGAGATGGAGGCAGAAGATCAGGAGCTTAAGATCATCTACGTATCATCAGTTACACAGTAAGTTTGAGACCAGCCTGGGATATATGAGATCCTGTCTCAAAAAATGAGCAAAACAAAACCTTGATGAAAATCATTTGGCAATAACTATTTGAACTCCATATTAAATTTTAAATGAATTAAAATTCAAAATTCAGCTCCTCAGTCACATTAGCTCCGTTTCAAACACTCGACAGTCATATCTGCCTGGTGGGCGCCATGTTGAATGGTGTATGCAGTTCATAAAAACAAAATTTCCATTTCGAGGTCTTGCTTGATAGTGCTATTGCTGATTCTCCAGTTTCCCTGGTCCATTTTAGCTCATATCCATCTTGATCCTCAGTCCTGCCAGAAGGTGGACAGTTTCTTTAATTAGGATCCATATCTACTCTATAGTCCAGTTTCTAGACACCTAGGCTGTCAACATCGTGCTGAGAAAAACACCACAGTCACTGGATTTATCATTCTTTTGAAGTGAAGGAAGATGTCAGTCTTTGTCCACGTGACGGAGGGATATTTATTCAAATAATTATTCTAAGTATTGGAATTTTTTTTTTTTTTTTTTTTTTTTTTTGGTTTTTCGAGACAGGGTTTCTCTGTGTAGCTTTGCGCCTTTTCCTGGAACTCACTTGGTAGACCAGGCTGGCCTCGAACTCACAGAGATCCACTTGGCTCTGCCTCCCGAGTGCTGGGATTAAAAGCGTGCGCCACCACCGCCCGGCCTAAGTATTGGAATTTTTTTTTTTTTTTTTTTTTTTTTTTTTTTGGTTTTTTGAGACAGGGTTTCTCTGTGTAGCTTTGCGCCTCTCCTGGAACTCACTTGGTAGCCCAGGCTGGCCTCGAACTCACAGAGATCCGCCTGCCTCTGCCTCCCGAGTGCTGGGATTAAAGGCGTGCGCCACCACCGCCCGGCCCAAGTATTGGAATTTTAACCTCCAGCCAGGTGCAGTGGTACATGTCTATGGTCCCAACTTCTCGGAGGGTCACATAGGCCCTAGAGTTTGAAGTCAACCTAAGCAATACAGTAGATGCTGTCAATAAGTAAATAAACATGTCAGCTGTCTTCCTTCTTCATTGTCAAGACTTCATTCTGATGTCTTTGTTCTTCGTTTGCTTGTTTTTTCCTTGCTATTCCTTTTTTCCTATATCTTTTCCTAAAAATGGGAAGGACAGAAGGATAATTTGGTTCCTAACTTTACTATAAATTAGAGACACTCTCAGGAACTAGTTAACTGTGCAGATTTCCAGGCCTAACCCTCAGAGATCCTAACTCACCAATGTCAAGGGTGATGAGCCCCTTGTTTCTGGGTCCAGAGGAGTCTGATGCTTGTATGTTACCAGCAGAAGACTGCCTACCCTGACAAAGCTCACAACATACTTCACACAGAGGCTGTCTACCCTGACAAAGCTCACAACATACTTCACACAGAGGCTGTCTACCCTGACAAAGCTCACAACATACTTCATGCAGAGGCTGTCTACCCTGACAAAGCTCACAACATACTTCATGCAGAGGCTGTCTACCCTGACAAAGCTCACAACATACTTCATACTTCTTTTGCTGAAGCTCTTTCTTCTAAGTACAGAAAATGAAGCACATTATTTCTAATTATAGAGGCCTCCAGGATGAGAAGTGAGAAAGAAAACCCACAACAGGAGGGGGCAAAAGGAGCAGAGACACATGCAGTGTCACCCGGGAGACCTAAAGGGGGTAGTCTGCACAGCCCTGAGCCAAGAGGGGTGAACATGAGTGAACCCCGATTGTCACAGAGGCAGGCCAGACCCCCAAATGCTGAGAAGGCATTTGCTCACTACCAGAGACATTGCAGAGACCTGGACTATATCAGCAACCCCCTCCGAGGCCATCCACTGAGAGAATTAAAGAAAAGCAAAGGAGGCAGACGAAGTCTGAGCAGCCTTCTGCAGTGTCTTAGTCCCCAGGCAGCCCGCTCAGCCCAGAAACCCTATAAATGCGATGACTGTGGGAAGAGCTTCACCTGGAATTCAGAACTGAAACGACACAAGCGAGTACACACGGGAGAGAGACCCTACGTCTGTGGGGAGTGCGGAAACTGCTTTGGGAGGCAGTCAACTCTGAAACTGCACCAGAGAATCCACACTGGGGAGAAACCATACCAGTGCAGCCTGTGTGGGAAAAGCTTTCGCCAAAGCTCCAATCTCCACCAGCACCACAGGCTCCACCATGGGGACTAAACAGATACTAGGTGCTTTAGAGTCCCAGGGAAGGGCTTCTTGTCTCTCCCTTACTTGCATGTAAATCACGGAGTGTCTTTTTGACCCTTGGGGAGTGATGGATGAGTACTGATGGGGCCTGTCTGCAAAGATGGCAGATCTGGGGTTGGGGAAAGAGAGCTGCAGTCACTGCAGGGTAGGACTAGTTACTGAGGAGTAGAATGAGCCACATACTAGTAGAAGTCACACTAATAGAATGAGGATGAGCCACAAGTGGTTTTAATTAATTAATTAATCCTCAATTAAATTCTCCTTGTTGCTTTGTCTTATAAAATACAGTTGTTTTTATGTGCACACTTGAGCAGTTCACCAGAATTCCAAGAAAACATTCACTGAGAAGTCCACTAATAGTCTTTCTGCAACTAACTTTTTTATTGTTGGTGTTGGTGGTTTATTAATTAATTTTTATTTATATTTGAGACAGGGTTTCTCTACATAGCCCTGGCTGTCCTGGAACACACTCTGTAGACCAGGCTGGCCTCGAACTCAGAGATCTGTCTGCCTCTGCCTCCCAAGTGCTGGGATTAAAGGCGTGCACCACCACCACCACCGGGTGGTAGATGGCACTTTTATTTAAAAAGTTGTATTTGAGGGATCCTTTTGTATCAAAGTTCTTTTGATTTACAAAAGATGTTGCAACTCCAGCCCAAAATATAAGGAAAAGCCACAGGGAGAAGTGGCTACTGCTCTTCTGCTCTGGTGGACAGGGAACTTCTGCCTGTTCTTTCTCAAATAAGCCATTAGCTTTAAGACTGTGACTGGCATTTTCACAGTGTTCACAACTGGATTATGGTGATGGTTACAAAACTCAGTGACTCCAGGAAAATTACCGAAGTAGGCTAATTTATGATAAGTATCTCCATAGCATTTTTTTAAATGACAGAATACTATATTTATATAAAATGTTAAGAGTTTCAGAACTGGGTCTGAGACACCATCCTCTTCCAAACTCTTGTTTTCTCAAAGTAGGAAGTAGAACCCAATCAGTATGACCCTAGGCAAGCCGACCTCTTTCCCAGTTCAGGCCAATAAGATGTAGTACCTTGTGTACAAATAGGAGAATGTGGCCATTCTTCTAAAAGCATCAGTACCAAGTCACGGCCTTTATCTTCAATATTCAGCCTGTCCTTACCTCTGCCCTAGCCCACATACAGTTCCTGGCTGGAGCCGTTCCAGTTCTCACCCCAACAGCACCACTGCCAAACACACATACCCTTCCCTCGAGGCCAACTTCGCTGTTGTCTCTGGGTAACTTCTGTCTCAGTCATGTTTTCTGTTTTCTGTTGGTGTTGTAACAAATGACTGCAAACTTGGTGGGTTAACCCAAACCTTCTCTTAGACTACTGCAAGTTGAAGGCTGAAATCAGTTCCGCTCAGCCAGAATCACCTTGGGCGGGGCTTTCCTTTCGGAGACTCTGAGAGGTGGATCAGTTTCCTTGACGTTTTCGATAGCAGCCTCCTGCATTCTTGGACTCATGGCCCCTTCATCCTCAAAGTACATTCTTTGACTCTCCATCTTGCCTAACCTTGTCTAACTCTGGCCCTCCTGAATCACACGCCACTCTTGCTCCTAGGCATCCCATTGGTTCTGCCACATTTCTGGGTCCAGCCTAGAACATACTGGTGTCAGACCCAAGGAGAAAGGAAGCATTGACAATAGTGGAGGTCTATACATCTAAAGAGCATTTTCCCATCTACAGCAGATAAGGTGTAAACCAGTCCCAGAATACAGCTGTCCCTCTCAGTAAAATTGGCAGTGACTCCTCACAGTACAATAGACTGTAAAAATTTCCCTCTGTTCCTAGAACTAAAATGCTTCCTTTTTATTGCTTCATTGAAGTATTGCACATACCAGAAAACTTGTGCATTTATAGTATACAATTCAGTGGTCAAAGCTGTGCACTGTCATCACAGTGTCATTTTAGGACATTGTCAGTATCACAGAGAAAGTACTTTAAACATTAGCAATCCTTCCCTGTTCCCGTCACACCCTGTGCCTCTAGAGCACAGTATTGTAGAGTCCATACACATTGTATCACGTGCCAGGACTTTATTCCTCTTATTTCCTAGTAGTGTTGCATTGTATGAAGGGCATTCAGTTCATCCACTGATGGGTGAACATTGTGTAATTGCACTCTGGCTATTGTAAATAGAATAATGCTGCTATGAACATTAATATTTAAGTTTTTATGTTTCATTCCTCTTGGGTACATGCCTAAAGGTTGAATTGCTAGGTCATGTGATAATTTTCTGTTCAACTTTTCTAGAAAACACCAAATTGTTTTCCAAAGTAGATACACCACAGTTTACAGTTCAACCAGCAGTGTCCCAAGGTTCGTTTCTCCACACCTTCAACATAGTTTATTATTGTCTTTTTGTTACTGATCTTGTTTTTTTGAGACAGAGTCTCATGGCTGGCAAAGAACTCACAATCCTACCTGAGGATGATCTTGAACTCTTGATCCTCCTGTCTCCACCTCCCAAGGTCAAGATTGCAGGCATGTGTCACCATGTCCAGTGTTCCTGGAATTTGTCTTTTGATTATTGTTACCCCAGTCAATGTGAAGTGGTGTGTCATGATCCTGATTTTCTCTTCCCTAATGACTAATGGTGTGTTTGTTTATTGTATGTATATTTGTTTTGAAGAAATGGCTCTTCAAAACTCCCCTCCCCCATGGTGTTTTGAGACAGGGTCTTGCTGTATAGCCCTGGCTGGCCGATAACTCACTATGTAGATCAGGCCAGCCATGAACTTGAGAAAATGCTGCCTGTTTCCAAACCCTGTTGATTTTTGTTGTTTTTGAGACAGAGTCTTGCGGGACTTGCCTTGAATTTGCAGCAATCCTCTTGCCTCAGTCCTGAGTCCTGGGGTTACAGGTGTAAGCCACCATAACTCTCTCTGGCCCTTTTAAAATGGATTATTTGCCATTTTTGTTGCTGAGTTGTAAGAATTCTTTAAATATTCTGGAATGATGTCCTTATCAGATGTATGACTTGCAAAGAGTTTCTCCCATTCTTTTGTAATGCACTTTTGTTTGTTTGTTTTGTTTTTTCGAGACAGGGTTTCTCTATGTAGCCCTGGATGTCCTAGAACTTAATCTGTAGACCAGGCTGGCCTTGAACTCAGTGATCCACCTACCTCTGCTTCCAGAGTGCTGGGATCAAAGGTTGCCTTACCACTGCCCAGCTTGTAATACACTCTTCTACAGTTGTTGTTGTTTTTGCAGTGGGGGTTGATACAAACTCCTGTGTAACCCAGGATAGCCTCAAATTTGTTATCCTTCTGTCTTAACCAATGGAATGCTGGGATTATTGGTGTACATTCATGACCAGCAGTACACATCTGTAATGGAAACAGCTGTCACTTGCCAAAATCCAAGGGACCAAATTCTCAATTTCCTAATTGCCAGTAAAACAACCTGACATTCCTGTGAATTAAGTTTAGGATCCTTGGAACACAATTTATACCAGTTCCTCAGACTTCCCTGTGCCAACCATGTGTGGTTCACAGTTCCTAAGGGAAATTTAAGTATCTATTGAAATAGTTCTGCTGTTTTGGCTTTGGAATAAACATGTTCCCACTGAAATAAAGATGGTATTGCTTACTTCATAAGCGACAGATGTTGGTAAGTACTTGGCATACAAGACATTTTTGTATTGGGGATTAAACTCATTTAATTCAGCAAACTTGGAGATTATTTTTCTATTGTTGCTATTTTAGGGAGAAGAAAACCACAATGTTCAGAATTCAAATACTCTAGCTCACATCTCATAGCCAGCCAGCCAATTAGGATAGGTCTGAGTTATAGTTTGTTTCTTAAGTTTATTGGGTCTTTGGTTAGTATGGCTTGATGTTTTGAGATGAGGTCTCTCTGTGTTGCCTAGGCTGACCCCAAACTCTTGGGCTCAAGCAGACCTCCTGCCTCAGCCTCTTGAGTATCTGGACAACAAAACACTTATTATTTTTTTTTCTGGGGTTTCTATCTTAGTTACTGTTCTATTGCCATGGGGAGACACCAAGACCAAGGCAATTTATAAAAGAAAGCATTTAATGGGGGGCTTGTGTAGAGTTTCAGAGGGTGAGTCCATTTCCAGCATGGTGGAAGCATGGTGGCAGGCAAGCATGGCCTGGAGCAGTAGCTGAGTTTACATCTACTCCAAAGGCAGCAGGCAGAGAGACAGGGACAGAGGGAGAGAAACCTCAAAGCCCACTCCCAGTGATACCCTTCTCCACAAGGCCACCTCTCCTAATCCTTCTAGACAGCCAAGCAACTGGAAAGCAAACATTCAAATAGATGAGTGTCTGGGGGCCATTCTCATTCAAACTATCACAGATTTTTATACAGTCTCACATAAACCAGGCTAGCTTTGAATTATGTAGCCTAGGATGATTCTGAACTCCTGATTCTTCTCTAGCCCATAAGCCCATTGAAGGTGTGTGCCACTGTGCCTGGCAGTTTTTAAATCAACTGTACTGTCAATTTGGGGATCAAAAGTATTGGGTAGTGTTCTCAGTGAGGCTGCTGAAATTCTGAAGTACAAAAGATGCCGGCCTCTGAGAAGCACATCAGTGGAGTTGACTGAGGTATTCTGGGTTTGAGCAATGTCTAGAGAACAGATTCTGGGTGGCTTTTCTGATTTAGGTCTGTATTGAACAATGCCACTTGCGACTTGACTCCTCCAAGCTCTATCATCACATAAAAGATTTACAGGATACATTCCCAAGAGAGAACATAGATAGAATGAAGAGACAACATGTGGTCCATCTGGAGGGGAGTATTATTCAACCATAAGAAAGGAAATACCGATATGCTACACCATGTGTGCACCTACAAACAGGCTCAGTGACAAGTGTCAAAGTTCGTACATGTATGATTTCATGTATGTGGAATGTCTGGTTAGGCACATACTACAGACAAAAATAATTAGTGATTGCAAAGGCTATGGTGAGGGTGGAGTATGGGGTGATTGCTGATGTTTCTTTTGGGGGCTGTTGTTACACAACCTTGTGAATATAAAAAAAAAACTTAATTGTGTACTTTAAAGGATGAATTTTATTATATGAACTATAACTCAGAAAAGAAGATGAAACAACTTCACAGTTAAGTCTCTACCACAGGCCCCACAGCCAGCTGACCCAGTGCCAGGGCCAGTTGTAGCACCTACAACTCAGGGCAGCCAAGAAGAATATCCAAACGTGAAAGTTACGGTAAGACTTTACCAGGGATAATTGGGATGTATGAGGACACGAGCATGTTTGTGAAGACCCAGGCTTGTCCTGAAGTATGCCTCGAAAAGAAGCAGACTTGCACCCGCTTATCCTTCATTTCCACTCTCTGGGTGTTGGTGCAGGGTCTTGTGTAGCTGAGGATGATCTTGAGCTTCTGATCTTCCTGTCTCCGTGTCTCTGTGTTTTGTGCATGTGGAAGTCAGATGACAACTTTGGGGAACTGGTTCTCTCCTTCCCCATTATACGAATTATGGGAATCAAACTTAGGTCTTAGATCTTCAGGCTTTCACAGCAAGCACCTTGACATACCAAAGCTATCTTGATGGCCCCTTGTTTTTGTTTTCCGTATCCTATGAAACTCTCTTATGCTCAATTCTGTGAGACTAACTTCCCTTTCGTGACATATGGTTTCTATAAATAGTGCCTGAACTGAGAATGCTTGCCTAGCAATGTATGAGGTCCTAAGGTCAATCTCCAGGACTGCCCAACCTCTCCTCCCCTGAAAGAGATATATGTACAATACTCAAGGAAGAAATTGGTATATTGAACTGGAAATCCACATGTAGCTAGACAGCAGGGGCATCAAGGAATGACAGGAACAGTTGTATTGAAAACCTTAGATGTTATCCTAAAGACAACAGAATGTCAGTGGAAAGTGCCAAGTTGAATGATGACATAATCAGATGTTACCAGACTATTTTAGTTAACTAATGGATAAAGTTCACTGAATAGATTTAGTTACTGTTGGATAAAGGTAAGGAGAAGTAAGTAGAGAAACAGGTTTGGGAAATATTTGGGGGGGTCTTTGATTTAGTTTTTGCTTTGTAATGCTAGGACACACCACAGAGCCTCCCATATACTAAATAAGCACTCTATCACTGAGTTATTTCCCCAACAGGATTGAGAAATATTTTTGAGGTATCATTCACAGAAATTCATGGCAGAATGGATGGGGAGTTGGAGCAGCTTATAAACAACAGAGATGTTTTTCACATTGCTAGATGCTGGGGAGTCCAAGACTAGTGTGCTGGCAGACCCCATATCTGGAAAGGGCCATTTTATATCCCCACCCCCAAGACAGGTTTCTCTGTGTATCTCTGGCTGTCCTGGAACTAACTTTATAAATCAGGCTGGCCTTGAACTCAGGCCTGCCTCTGCCTCCCAAGTGCTGGGATTAAAGGCATGTGCTACCACCACTGGGTAGGTAGTGCCCTCTTGATGGTTCCTCTAAGGTAGAAAGTGCTGGCTAGTGCTCTGAAGTTTCTTTTATATGGGAACTAAATAAGGGTTCCACACTCATGACCTAACTACCTTCCAAAGTTCCCCACCTTCTAATACTGTCTATCCTCTTGGAGCTAGGATTCTAGCATATGAATTTTGGGAGACAAACATTGGAACCATAGTGGGAGGGAAGGAAGAGGAGGTGCAATTGTGTGGATGGCGTACCATATACTGGAGGCAGAGGCTAAATGCATGCACAGTTTTGGACAGGTATTTGGATTTATCAAAAATGTTCAAAGGAGGACATCTCAGGTACTTGACTACTGGAATTGAGTGCAACAGAGAGGAGAAACATGGACTGACATCAGGTAAGTCAGTGCCGTCATACATGTGACTAAAATCATTCAGGGGAAACCATTTACTCAAGGTGAGCCAAGTACACACTGTGACTAACCAGAAGCACATTAGATAGAACAATGCTCCAAGGAACTAGCTGTGCTTCCAGTTCAGCTATTCTAGAGGGGTATGCGGGAGGATCAGGACTGCTTGAGGACATGAGGTAAAGGCTAGTCTGGGCAACATAACAAAACAATCTCAAAGTCAATCAAGCAGCAGATGTAGCAAAAGCAAGCTGCTGACGTAAGTTCCAGAGAAAATGCTCTACCCAGAGCAAGCAAGAAGCTGAGGGGACAAAGCTGCTTCCTCTGGTCCAACATGGTCCTTGCCTTCATCGCAGTATGGAGATGAGGTCTTCATAACACTACCCTTGCACAGACGCACTCAGACTTAGCCCGGAATAACCTCAGGGCACATCTCTGTCCATAGCCCAGTTTCTGCTGAGACCCTAGAGTTGCTGGGTGGCCACGGGGCAGACAATGCCTTATCAAACTCCACCGCTAGACACCTAGCCCCAAAAGCCAGAGCAGTGTGCAAAACACTGATAGAAGTGGATACCTGAAGTGACCTCAGCTTCCGGCTTCCTGCCTGCCTGGTGAGGCAAATAGCATCTGGTAGGCATTAGTTCCAACCTGTACTACTGGTAGCTGTTTAGCCAGCCTACAATCACTTCGAGGTCACGAGAAACCAGAAGGGAAAACCACTTACCATATTCCTTCCCAGCTGGGTCTGTTTAGACAACCGCTACCCGGTGGAGCTAGAGGTACATGGTCCTATACTGCTACTGAAGACTGGAATGTAGACAGACATCTAGTGCTGTCTTAGAATAATGCTGGAACCTTATACTGAATTCCAGTGAACAAGACATGTTGTTTCCTTTATCAAGTGGGTAAGGTAATTCATTCACATTCTCTAAACTACTATCCAATTAGCCTTTTCGAATTAGCCTTAACTTTACTGCAACCTAAAATCACTGAAGAATACATTTTAAAAGTTCACAGCCTTGCCATCATCATAAAAATAACATTTATTGGATAAATTGCACATCAGATACGCACAATCACAATTGAGAAACTTCAATCTAGAGCTAAGACGAGAATTCATCAAAAACAGTAAGCTGAAATGTTAAACAGAAGTGCACACAGAAAACCTATTAACTAGGCATCAAAATACTAGACATAGAATATTCATAAGTTTATATAAATGAATATGTTGTACTCCCTTTCTCCCTAGACAGTTCTTGCAGACAAGGATCTCAATTCAAAGAGACAAAACACCTGTTGTTAGTTAGCCTTGGAAAGATCGGTAATAGTTATTTTTATATCACATAAATAGTTCTCGTAATATACAAGACTAAAACAGTTAAATATACACACTTAAACATAATTTACCTTTTAAACAAATAGTCAAAGTAAAAGCAGTTTCCTAATGAGATCCCTGCAACATTCAAAATAGGTTCTTTTTTAAAGAAGCTATATAACCTACACCTCCCTTTGAATACATATACAGTAAATTAGAGATTATTTAAAGCAAAATCTATCTTTTCAGATTGTTTGGCATCTTACATTACAGTCACCAGAACACTACTGCTTAATTTTATGGAACTTTAGGCATCAAAGACAAAAATGCTATTTAACTGCCTGGGTTACTGGGCCAGCTGTCTTCAGGGTTACAGGGTCATATGAACAGATTGGTATTTGTAGCAGCACAATTCTAGACAAAATATTTTGAGTTCAACTCCTTCAACAACAAAATCTAACATCACCTAAATACAAAGTGCAAACACTAGTATCTAAATTCCACTGGGAGATGCTGCTGTCATCAATGATGACGGTTTAACAGAACCTGGTATCCCCCCAGTTATGTTAAAGAACTGTTTTAGTCCCATTTTCATCGTAGCATCAACAAAACCCGTGAAGTTTGAGTTCATGTTTTCAGTACCAAGTTTCCACACTTCATAGAGTCAACATCCCTCCTACAATATGTAGTTAGCTAAGCATTCATAGCAAGACTCTTACATTCCATTTTCTTATCCCTTTATTAACTGTATCCAAGAATTGTTATTAGCACCTGACATGACTTGCTAATATCCTGGGTTAAGAGCAACCAATCTTTTGGAATCTACTCCAGTTGGCAATACAATTAGGAGGATGAAAAGGCCATTATCATAAAAATAGCCCAAATATCACTGGTAGACACAGTTCTTCCTTCAACTCCTTAGGGGCAGAGCAGCTTGAGAATAACATACTACTGCTGTTTTTAGGAACAAGTACACAATAAAGAAATAACTAAAAATATGACTATTTCACAGTAACTAACATTCGGTTTTTTCCTTTTTTCTGCAAACCAGTCACCAGTAATATTTCACCACAGGCCATTTAATTACTCTCACATATAGTAATGATTTTTGTAAAAATGCCTTTTTTCTAATCTTTTGTGGGTAATCTTTCAAAATCTGGAGAATGCAGAAAACTACAAATACTGAGAGATAAATTGTGAATAGAGCTCCAACTAGAAGTGTGGGTTTCCATGTTAAGATGTACAGCATAAAATTCACCTTTTGTATGTTCTTAGAAGGAAAAAAAAAAAGGGTGTGTGTGTGACAACTTCCAGTTGTTATACTAGCCACATTTTGTCCAGGTACCTTCCAATACCTTTCTGTACCAACCCTATTAGTAAGGGCCTTTTTTTCCCCAATTCCATTCCCCATCCTGTAACTCTTCAGTCTTCACTCAAATACGAGAGCCGATGAGGGCATACCAGTTCCCCCTCTGAGAAGCAAAAGAGTAGGAAACTAATGCTCTTGTTGCTGTTATCAACCACCGTTATATTCTAGAGTTAGCTAAAGACCTGACACTACCTTTCTGTACAATTCAAAGCATCTTTGACCAAGGGCTGAAGAGACCAGAAGGCCATTTTAAATGTGAGGCCCCAAATCCTGACACAATGATGCTTTATAGCCTAAATGTGGAGAAACAGCCAAGTCTAACCTTGACATACAGGTCACAGAGTCTCAACTGTGGATAAGTTGAAATGGTACACTCCAGGAAAGGGACAACAGATGAGGCAAAGCTGTTGACTTAAGTTTTTCTCACTCAGCAACAGTGATCATCCTGGCTGGCATTTTTTTGTACATAAAATTCTCAACCTGCTCTTCTGTAGAAGGTACATTTTAGCCACTGACCCTCAAGAGGGCTTTATATTTTGTGCATGAAATTTCCTAGCAGTAATTCCATTTTAGTAAATATTATATTTTTACAGTCCATTTAGACAAAATGAAATCATACTTGCATACTAGCCAAAAGACCATATAGATAGTTTTACTGATAGGTATATAATCACTTTTGTTGTAAAGTGTAGTTCTGTAAGAATGTATACTTACAACATTCTTTGGTTGTCATATAGTGTAGAACAATGACAATATTTTGTTCTAATATTTATCTGTAATACCAGTACCTAAAGGCATATTTGTTATCAATTATTTTGGTTCAAAACTCAATAATCCTATATGTATTTTTTCTTTGGAGATGGACAGGAAATGTTATAATTTAATAAAAAAAAATCTCTAGCCAGTTTGTGGTTGCATACATCTTTAATTCCAGCACTCAGGAGGCAGAGGCAGATCTCTGAGTTTGAGGCCAGCCTGGTCTACAGTGTGAGTTCCAGGACAGCCAGAGCAACACAGTAAAACCCTGTCTCAAAATGGAAAAAAAAAAATCTCTGATTTGATATAGTGACAAGAAATTCAAGCATGAAGCCATAGAGAGTCTTCTGTTTGCTTTTTTTTTTTTGGTTTTTCGAGACAGGGTTTCTCTGTGTAGCTTTGCGCCTTTCCTGGAACTCACTTGGTAGCCCAGGCTGGCCTCGAACTCACAGAGATCCGCCTGGCTCTGCCTCCCGAGTGCTGGGATTAAAGGTGTGAGCCACCACCGCCCGGCCTTCTGTTTGCTTTTTTAAGAGTAATGAAATCAAGCTGTGGATAAAAATAAGGACATATTGGGCTTCAGGTAGTAAGTCCAGGGGCAGCCTCCATGATGACTGTCATTCCCCTCCCTGTCCAGTGTCATTGTCTCCTAAACTTGTGGCACAAATACCAACAGATAGTGGAGTGTCACAAAATGCATGACCTCAGGAATTACAGAACCCTTGAATTTAGATATCAACCTCATCACAGTGTGATGTTTTGTGTGCTTAATTATTGACTTTACCCTCTGAAAGCTTCAGTTTATTTATAAAACATGGATAATCCTTTCTCTCAGATTTTTTTTGAAGGTTATACAAAATAATATACCCACACTATTTAGCATGCTCTCTAAAAAGTAGTTCTAACTATTTATAACCAGCCAGGAGTGTGCTTCAGTGGAGATCTAGAGGCAAATCCCCTTAGGGAAGAACAAGTACACCCCTCCAAAGTCTAACTGCTAGAGAATGTCAGGACCTGCCCCTGCCATCAGGTCTGAAAATGGGAAATCCATAAATACTGTTATCCAGTTGTTAACTAGCTGGATATAGTGGCACATACCAGTAATCCTAGCACTTGGGAGATGTAAACAGGAAAATAATGATTTTTAGGCCAGCCTGGGCTACATAGCAAGAACCCACACACACTTAAAAAAAAACAAAGTTGGCCCATTTGGTAACTTTATATGGAATCCTAAACTAGAAATTCACATTTAAAATAAAATATTCCACATAAACATTACACTGAAATAGTTTTAACAAGAAAAGTATAAAAAACAAATATAAAAACATTTCACTTTCCTAGATACTACATATACAGAACTGGCAAAAAAATAAATAAAATTTCCTCTTCCTAATATTCTTAGAAACCAAATTTAAAAAAAAATTGTAGCATTAACTTCATTTTAACAAAAACTGAATTATTTTGTTTTTTGTTTTTTGAGACAGAGTCCCACTATGTAGCTTTGGCTGTCCTGGAACTCACTATGTAGACCAGGCTGGCCTCTACCTAACAGAGATCCTCCTGTTTCTGCTGCCTAAGTGCTGGAATTAAAGGCATGAGCCACCACACCCAGCAGTCAAAAACTGAATTTTACAAGTTTTATGTTTCTCTGGCTCATATAAATGGAATTTGATCAGTAACTGAGTTTAAATCCTGGCTTCACATGCCATCTGTGTAACTATGTCTCCTCAGTTCTAAATCAGATATAATAAATAATACTGCCTATATTCCATGGAATGTGTGTAAAGTGCTTGCTTAGCATAGTGCCCCACACATAAAGTGTTTCCCATCATAAAGATACTGAAAAGCCCACACAGTAGCAAAAGCTTGTATTTACTTGGTGTTTCTCCTATGGGTTCGTTTATGAGTGATGAGATGCATATTCACTCTAAAGCTCTTCCCACACACCGTACATTTAAAAGGTTCTTCCTTTATGTGGTTCTTCTCATGGGATGCAAGTTCTGAATCTAAAGCAAAAGTTTTTGCACATGTTTTACACTTATGAGGTTTTTCCATGTCATGAATGGTTTGATGAGAAACAAGCTCCGAGAAACAAGGAAAGGTCATGTCACAATCAAGACATTGTAAAGGTTTGAATCTGGAGAATGAAAAAAAGTCTTCATCGTCAATACTGCAGTTCTTAGAGTCCTCCTTATGGTCCTTCTCAGGGAGAGCAGGGTATGAGGGCTGCTCCAAGCTCTTCACACACTGAGTGTGCTGGAATGGGGTGTCTGGGGTGTCTGATGAGCCTGTTTTTTCAGGCAAAGCCAGATTTGTTTCCTGACAATGTTGATCACGGTCAGCACATTCATAAGACTTTTTATCAGCATGACTCTTCTGATGTTCTGCCAATCCTGGGAGCCACATAAAGCCTTCCCCACATACATTACATGTATATGGTTTCTCCTTTATATGGCTATTCATGTGTCGGGACAGGTGTGACTGCTGCCGGAAGCTGGCAGCACACTTGGTACACTTGTAAGGCTTCTCCCCAGTGTGGATTCTCTTATGTGTCCTCAGGTTAGTTCTGTGACTGAAGGTCTTCTCACAGGTACTACATTTATACCTTTTCTCTCGTGAATGAATTTTCTGATGCAGAACAAGGTATGTATTATCACTGAAGCTTTGGTCACAGTCGGGACACTTGTACACATTTTTGGCTTCTTCCCAGGGAACATCAATAATATCCGAAAGTGTTCTGACTCCTAAACATTGAGATAATTCTACTAATGGGGTTTGGTTTTCAATGGTGACCAAGAGGCTTATAACCTTGGTCTTGCAAGTCAAAGTTCCGCCTGACATTTTCCTTTCATGTGTTCCAACATCATCCTCAGATTTTTCCGAGGAATGCACAAGGGGTGCTGCAGTGGAGTGCGTGTCTAGGGACAGCTCTTCAAGTTCCATAGACTCTAGGCTTAACTGCTGACTGGTTTCAGTCTTGTCTTCCCCTCCTGGTGATAAAAGGAAAACACAGACACCACCTTTTAAGTGATACTAGAGAAAGAACAAGTTAAAGTAGTTACGCGGCAGACCGGAAACTGAAAATGGGTTAGCATATTACCCAGACACTAATAATACACAAAATCAGAGCCAGCAGGCTCTCCTGGCTTCCCCAAATCAAGTCTATCCGTGTGGGCGGACTGCAAGGTTCCAGGTCAATCTGCAAAGAGAAGGAGCAGAGGATGACTCTAAGACAGGGTTCGAGGAGATGGGTACTGAGGACAATCTTGGTAGGCAGTGCCTAGAAATGTACTTTTTCTGTTTAGTCTATTTAGGTTTTAGGAATTTTTCATTATCTCAAACAGGAGTTTAATAGTCAAAACTGGAATGGAGATTAGACATAGCGGAAAAGAAAACTATTTTAACAAGCATCTATTTTAATAAGCATCCAAATTATTAAAAAGTTCTATATCCTAGAGGGTCTCTAAGATTTCATCCTTCGAGTAAGAATGATCATGATAAAGCTGCTGTGCACAGACTGCTGACAGTGACTGTCTTATCTCAAGGAGGGCTAACAAAACCTAAACCTAGATAAAGAATTCCTTTTAAATAGTTTCCCTAATACAGCCATCACAAAATACCCATAGGTTATAGTTGCAGATTCAACGAATTGCAAGTTGAAGATTTTCTTTCTTTTTTTCTTTTTTCTTTTTTTTTTTGGTTTTTCGAGACAGGGTTTCTCTGTGTAGCTTTGCGCCTTTCCTGGAACTCGCTTTGGAGACCAGGCTGGCCTCGAACTCACAGAGATCCGCCTGGCTCTGCCTCCCGAGTGCTGGGATTAAAGGCGTGCGCCACCACCGCCCGGCCTTTTTTTCTTTTTTAAATCACATCTCTAGGGGCTGTAGAGATGGCTCAGCTGTTAAGAGCACTGGCTGCTCTTCCAAAGGATCTGGGTTCAATTCCCAGCCACATGGCAGCTCACAACAGTCTGTAATTTCAGTTCCATGGGACCCAACACCCTCTTCTGATGTCCCCAGGCACCAGGCATACACATGGTGCATAGACATACATGAAGGCAAAATATTCATATACACAAAAATAAAATCTTTAAAAGATACAAGACAAATATATAAAATAACCAATGTCTAAAAATCCAGTCAAACTTTGCCAGGCATGTAAGAAATAGGAACACACAACTCATAACAAAGAGAAAAATCAATCAATAGAAATAGATCCAGAAATGACACAGATGATTATAATTAGCATGTCCACATGCCTTTAATCCTAATACTTGGAGGCAGAGATGGTGGCTCTCTGTGCGTTCAAGGCCAGCCTGGACTACATAGGGAGTTCCAGAACAGCCAGGGCTACATAGAGACCCTGTTTCAAGATACCAAATGAATAATAAAATCAGTAAAGAAAGTAGCAAAAGAGCTATTACAAATATACTATATATTTATAAATATATTTATTTATCCTATAATACATTTATAAATATAAACATAAATATATAAACATGTTCAAGAGAAGGTGGAGAAGAACATGAACATAACAGAAGTAGATAATATAAGCCCATGAATTATGAAAAATAGTTTAGGTACCCAACCCTAGACAAGATATAATGTCTATTCAGGCATAGGGATACTGCATCCATATTCCTTGAGTGGGAAAGTCAGAATACCTCCTTAAGAGAAAATCAGTTCCCAATCTTTAGCAAATGACAATAATCTATACTAATGAAGTTTTTCAAGTGAAACTAACTTGATTCCAACAATTATTTCAGGAGATTACAAGGTATTGGTCCATAGTATGTGAAACCATGGTCACCATTGTAGACTGGGTTTCTTTTAAGAACTCACTTCAAAGCTCTGGAGATGGCTTAGCAGATAAAATGTTTGCTGTGTAAACTAAAGACAAAAGTTTGAATCCCCAGCACCCAATAAAAGCCAGGTAGACGTTGTAGCCCACCTGTTATCCCAGCACTCCGGATGTGGAGATAGGGGATCCTAAGGCAAGCTGGCTAGTCAGTAAATACAGTGGAGAGTGATTGAGAACACCTGACATCAACCTCTGGCCTTCACACACTCACACACACACATGCAAATGCTCTAGCGCTCACACAAGAAAAAAAAAAATCACTGCAGACTTTGAAACTTGTTCTGTCATCCAAATTCTTGCTATAGCCATATAAATACACACACACACACACACACACACACACACACACACACACACACATGAATCTCACACACAGGTCCCACTTCACCACCAATGTGGACAAGTCATAAAATTCTCATCCTAGAACTGATGAAAGTTCCATAATGCAGAACTGTCTTACCTATCAAGTCCAAATCCTCAAAACATTCCAGTGGGGCTTCTCTGCTGTTGGCCTTCTGGGCAGGAGGCAGACTCACACATTCCTCTTGAGAAAAATACACATCCAGATCTTCAAACAGCTGTGGTCCCTGGAACAGGAGAGCCCTGTTAGTAAAGAAGCTAGCAGGTCGGTTCGAGTGCTAACCTAGGAAGGCTGAAAAGAGCTAAACCCTTTCACATATGAAAAAGAAAAGGCGCAGGACTTTAATCCAGCACTCGGGAGGCAGAGGCAGGCGGATCTCTGTGAGTTCGAGGCCAGCCTGGGCTACAGCTCGAGATCCAGGACAGGCACCAAAACTACACGGAGAAACCCTGTTCGAAAAACCAATATAAAATAAAATAAAAATAAAGAAAAAAAAAAGGCTTGGTGTAAAACATTCTTCAGCGAGGGATTCTACAAGTAGGGTCGGGGGGAAAACATAAACAAATTTTGAAACAGTAGCGTGAGAATCAAGAGTGTACACCGTGAGAATGTAGCCTTTCCTGAAAATTTGAGTGAACAATTCTTGGGGAGAGAAATCTTTAGGTAAGGGAGGAGGAGAAAGAGGAAAAAAGAAAAAAAGACTGGCCAGTCCAGTGAGAATCCTGAGATAGTTTTCAGGAGTTTCCTACATCCGTTGCAGTCTAGTCTGTCTTCCTCAGCACCGTGATTGCTCAGCTCCTCCCATCACTTCAGGATCTCGTTCTCGTTCCTACAACCCCAGAGAGCTTCTGGTGTGGTTAAAGTCACCTGGGCTTTAATATCATTATCCAACAGGTGTGGAGCCTAGAAATCTGCCATTTGGAGAAGCATTCCAGCAAGACACTCTGAGAAACCGTTACCCCTTGGCAAGGGCTCTCCTCCGCATCTGGTGATTCTGAAATGAGGAAGTTGGTAAGCCCAGGAACGAAGGCAGCTTGGTGAAGGCTGGCTACCTGAGGCGGCACACACGAGCCAGGACCTGCGCGTCCAACCCTGTGGCGAGGAGGTCAGGGCACCCGTAGGGAAACAGCGGCAGAATTCACCTGGTCATCTGATGTGTTGAGCGCGGACGCCATGTGGGGAAGCGAAGGGGTCCTCCTTCAAGTCCCCGCGATGGGACGACACTTCGAGGGAGAGACTAGTCCCTAGACTCTCCGATTCGGCTGCCAGGCCTTTCCACGCCCCCCTCAGGTTCCTCGAAACCCTCAAGCTCCTTTGAGAATCTGAGGCGACGGCATCTTCCTCCCAAACAGCCCTGCAGGGGACCCCTCGGCAGCCCCGGAGCACTGACAGGCTCGCCCGACCCGGCCAGCCGCACGAAGCCACGCCCAGCCGAGACGCGACAAAGGAGGCGGAGGCCGGCGCCAGACTCCCACGCTCCCGTGCTCCCCGCGCAGAAGCTGGGAGGAAACCGCCGGAAGCGACGCGCCCCCCGGCTCAGCCATCCCTCCTTCTGATTGGTCGGCGCGCCCCCAAGGCGGCGGGCCTTCTTCCATGGACCAATTGAGCAGCTTCCTGAGGACCAGACTCGCACCCGGCAACTGAGAGACGTCGTCACTCCCGAGCGTCTACGAGCATCTGTTTCCGGTTCCGCCGGCTGGGTCTCGGTGGTGAGTGCCCGGCTGTTGGTGGGCTCTGTTGGAGCAGTACATGGCCTCCGAGTACCGGACGACTGCCCAGCAGAGGCGGGAACACCCTGGCGTCGGTCGCGGAATGCGGGAACACGCCGGCGCGGTGCGCCTGAGGTTTTTAGCGGACGGGGTGAGGTGAAGGACAGGCCTCGAGTCCCAGGCCTAGCTTGGGCCCCGGCCCTGTGTTTCAGGATCGAGGGCCACGGTACGTGAGAACCTGTCATGTGCAGTCCCAGGTTCAGGCCAGGCTAGCGGGGTTGCTCGTGTCCGACCCAAAGCATTCTAGGGGCACGAGGCGTTGTCCCCCCAGGGGTAGGCCAACAGAATGACATAGGAGCTGATGTCTTCGCAGGACCTCGGCCGTTTTGTACCTCACACTGGACCCGCTACAGAGGCAAATGTCCTGTAACCAACACTGAGTAGCGAACTGTAGATTCAAAATCAGAAATCTTTCCAGAACTGCCACTAATTGGATAATTTTGCCTAAATTTTTCCTCTCTGGTATTGAGGATGAACCTATGGCCTCACACATAGTAGACAAACACTCTACCACTGAGCTGTACCCAGGCCCTCATCCTTTCTTTTTAAACTGTATTTAAAACAGACGTTGCCCCAGGCTAACTTTGAACTCACTGTGTAGCCCCAGCAGGCCCTGCACTTAGGATCCTCTTGCTTCACTACCCCTAGTCTCGGTCACCCACCCAGACTGGACAGTTTTTAACTTTGCTTTCCTCCACTGCAAAGAGCCCATAACGCTTCTCTTTGATCATTTAGAGGATAATTTGAAATATAAAATGTTAAAAGAATCGCCAGTTTATGAAGGAGTTTTGGGGAGGGGGCTAACAAACAAGATTAGTACCTTGAAAATTCTGAATAAATCCCAGTTTTTCTCACTTTCTTTCTTTTGAGATAGGGTCTTACTCTGTGGCCTTGGCTGCACTGAAGCTTGCTATGTAGACCAGGCTGGTCTCCAACATAGAGAGATCTGTCTCTGCCTCCCGTATTGCTGGGATTAAAGGAGTGTGCCACCATGCCCAGCACCAACATAATTTCTTTCCTTTTTTTTTTTTTTGAGATAGTGTTTCTCTGTGTAATAGCCCACCCTGGCTTTGAACTCAGAGATTCACCTGCCTCTGCCTCCCGAGTGCTGGGATTAAAGGCATGGCGGCCAACATAATTTCATTTAGCATACTGAAAATGGCAATGAAATACAGATAATTCATGCTAACTGTTCTTGTGTTGTGTATCCGTCTCAAGTTTATCAAGATTGAGGATTCATTAGGGTTTGGCCTACCATGCTTCAGTACAGTGCTCTGGCACAGGAGAAGAATCTAACATGCTCTGGGAAAAGAAAAAGTGGAAGTAGAAAACCTTACAAATCACTAACATTTATTACAAGGGACATCTACTGATAGCTGAAGTGTCTGGAAATGGATCACTAAGGAGGCTATCTAAGGGCCCAGAATAAAAGAAAAATGCTTCAATGACAGACAAAAGAATAAGAACAAACTTCCCTACAGACCATTTCAAAACATACATTGAAGAAGAGTAGTACGTAGTCCTTAAAGCAAAGGTATGTCTTGATGCAACTCACGTGATCATCTTTCTCCTCTTGTTTTGTGCTTGCCATTTTTTTCATGGATGTCTCATTTGGGCTAAGAATCTCCCAATACGGAGCTATGGTTCTTTATATTGAACCCTATTTTAATTATTACAAAGATATAAGCAAATTCCAATGTCCAGAAACTAAGTAATAACTTAGTATCTAAACAGAGAAAAGGTCAGCCCTAAAATGAGTGAGTCAGAATTGTCCTCAGCCCTGCTAGGCAGTGGTAGCACACCCTTTTAATTCCAGCTCTCGGGAGGCAGAGGCAGGTGGATCCCTGTGAGTTCAAGGCCAGCCTGGTCTACAGAGCGAGTTACAGGACAGCCAGGGATACACAGAGAAACCCTGTCTTGAAAAACCACAAATACACACAAAAAAATTTTTCCTCAGCCCTTGTAGGCGTTAAGCACCAAGCCAAACCAATAGACCAAGAAGCATGAAACATGAAAACTTGGAACTTGCATAAAGTAAGAGATGAGAGAGAGAAAAAGTCTAAGGTGAACAAAGATGGGAAGTAAGTAGAGTACTTGCCTGACATGGTTTGGTCCCCAGCACCACATACACTGGGTGTAGTGATGTGCGTGCCCTCTTCTAACTGAAGCATTACAAACTGAGGTGGAGGCAGAAAAACCAGCAGTTCAAGGTCATCCTCAGTTCCACAGGTTGATGACAGCCTGGTTACAGGAGACCTGTCTCCTGTAACAAAATAAACATACTTCTTGATACTTTTCACCGTTACCTGATTTGTAGCACGATTTACTATCGAGTGCTTGTTTTGCTATTTTCTACCACCATTTTGCCTCATTTGTATTAAATATAGGAATAATCTCTTCCTTTCTTCATTATGAATTATGTTTCCTTCATAAATTTTTTCCTGGCTACCTAATATATGCAATTAAAAATTAATCCAAATCCACTCCCATAACACTATATTGCTCTTGAGATGCCCAATACATTGTAATAGCAAAAGACTCCCATTCTGCTGAGTTTTTATTATAAATGGATGTTGAATTTTTCTCTATTAATATATGATTGTATTGTTTATTAATGTGTTAAGTAACTGTGACATAAAATGTTAACTCAAGCTTATAATTCCTGAAACAAAACAAAAAACACTTAAACATCTTCCCATGTACATATATGTGCATATACACTCACACAGACACATACACAAAATCTAAAAAAGTCCATTATTTGCAAGGTTTTCCATTCTCACTTTCAATGGTAATATCAATGGCAATAGTAAAATCTGTATAAATGGGAGTTTTCTCTCTAGCCAAGTGTCTTCCGTCTGAAGATCTAAACATCTAAAGATCACATCTTATTTGGTGTGGTCTGACATGGTGACACAGGCCTTTAGTCCCAGCACTCAGGAGGCAGAGACAGGCAGATCTCTGAATTCAAGGCCAACCAGGTTTTTCATATTGAGTTCCAGGCCAGCCAGTGCTGCATACTGAAACCCATCAAAAAAGAGAGAGAGACTGGTGTGGTGGTATATACCTATAAACCCCTGCACTCAGAAGTTTGAGACAGCAAGATGAGTTTGAGGCAAACTGGAGATCTATAACAAGAGCCAATCTCTCATACACACATAGAAATACAAATATTTTTTATTATAAAAGTACTCTATATTATTTTTTAAATTGTTACTACTGAAAGAGGATTTTAAAGACTTGGTTGGAGGTTAATGAGTATGTCCTTTGTTAAACAGTTATCTGAGTATTCCAGTTACTCTGACTATAAAGAAATAAACAAGTATTTAGTATTTGCATCATCTCTTGTCCAGTTGTCAAGCCCAGTCTCAATATTAGTGGAGAACCAGACCCTCCATGGTACTGCCCTAACATTCTGACACTAGACATTCTGTGGTCACCTGGTCAACTTATTCCACCTTTGGCCCTGACTAAGAAGTGGCATGGCGATCCATCTTATATGTGTGAATGTTTTGCCTGCACATATGTCTATACCACATGCATGCCTGGTGCTCAAAGAGGTCAGAAGACGGTGTCATCCCCCAGAACTGGAGTTACAGGTGGTTGTTAACTACTGGGAGGGTGCTGGAAACTGAGCCTGGGTCCTCCAGAAGAGCAGCAAGTTTTCTAAACTGCCAAGCCATCTCTGTAGTCCTACCTGTGTTACTTCATAACAGAAAACTTGCTTTGGATTTGGAAGTAAAATATGTGGCTCCTGTTTTTCCAGGATTGGATTTTTTTTAATGCATGTACAGTGTGTGTGTGTGTGTGTGTGTGTGTGTGTGTGTTTATGTGTTTATCAACATGTTCACGTGTGCATGAATGCATATGCGAATATGCCCATGGAGGTCAGAGAATCATTTTTGAGTGTCACCTTTAAGGCCACTGTCCACCTCATTTGAGATGGTCTCTTATTGGCTGATCAGGAATGCCCAGGGATCCTCTTGTCTTTACCTCCCTAGTACTGGGATTACAAGTAACTAGCGTTTGACGTGGGTTCAAGGATTGAACTCATGTTGTCATGCTTGCAAATACTTTACTGATGGAGCTGTTTTCCCAGACCTGTCCTGGTTTTGATCCCTGCATAGTAATAAACCCTTTAGGAAGACAAGCCTGGGTAATCGACTCTACCGAGTGACTGTCTTGTGGAACCATTCTCTCCTGAGTGCTTGCAAAGCAGAAGTAGATGTTGGCCAATAAACTGTCTGCTGAGCTTACCATGAAGAGGCTTATTTATTTTTTTTTTTTTAGTTTGTTCACAAGGTCCTGGAAAAGATGTGTTCAGATGTTTTCCTGAGAAGGCTGCTTTTGAAAACTCATGATTTTCCTTCAGTATGTCAGGAAAATTGTGATTCAAATGAAGGACTTGTGGCTTTTAATGATGAAGCACTTGGTGTCATTGAAACCAATTTGTTTCTTAGCTTTCGTCCTCAGCAGTTGGCCTACTATAAAGGCCCTGGGTGGATGTTTCATTGCAAAATGAGGACAGCATCTTTCAGTGTTGTTGAGAAAATGAAAGAATACATTTGAAGGACTAGCAGAGTATTTAACATGGCAACTATATATTCACTCCTACTCAATTCTAAAAATCCTACTGTTTCCACAATAAACACTTGTAGAAATCCTTATCACATGAATCTTCTTCAAAGCAGAGTGTGTTCTGAACCCACAGTGCCTGATTCCTCTGTTAATAAGGAAAAGAACTGAACTTT